TTGCTCAGAGGTTTGTCGCGTTTCACTTCGGTGTAAGCGCACGTGGTCTATCCCTAGCCGTGTATTTGTGATGCATTAAACACTGTGACTATTTTGATGGTCTTATTCAAAATCAGTTCTAGTTCTTTCATAAACTAATGTATTATAACGTTGCTTTACTTGAACAATGGAGGCGCAGAAAAGCTGAACTTTCATCACTTGGTTGTAACGTTGAGAAAACAAAGTCGATGACTCTTTACTGACATCATACGAACAAAAATTGAATAGGTTTACATTTCAGATGAAAAATTTAGAACAGTGAACGCGCATTGCAAATTGTATTTCATTGTCAGTAATGTTTATGGTTTACGCGGACAGGGCGTGGTTTTTTCAAATATATATATTATATACTACTATCGGAGAAACCGCAGCCGCTTTTATAACGTTAACAATACACATAAAAACATGGCCATTGTATTCAACCAAACGTTAACCTGGCATTTGAAACAAACCCCTCATTCAAACATATCGCTGTGTATTCAGTCGATTCTCAGTGATAAGCCACAAGTCATGTTGGGAACGGCGAATCAATTATTTCAACTCTGCGTAAAACCGCAAAAACGCTTTCACCGTGATTGAGGTTACTTAGACTGAATGAAAGCGGGCCGTTCGCCTTCACGAATGTGTTCAATTATCGAGATTGCGTTTACGCAATGAAGGGCAGTTCATTTAAAAATCAGCTTTAGAAGGCCATTTTAGAGCTTGTCGTGCATATTACCTAGCTACCGATGTCACAATTGACAAGACCAACAGGTACCAAAAAATTATTTTCAGTAATATACTGTATAGAGATGGGTCAACAAATTTTTGTTCTAATTTTATAATTTTCTTTTATTTTTCATTTAGAAAGCTCTAATCTAATGACAGTGACAGGTCGATGGCGGTCTAAATTTTTATGAATAACATTGATAGAGTATGATGCCTTCACGTCGAGCTGGTATATTCACGTCAATATAATTAGTTGTGATTACTTGGGTGAAAACCATATTTTAAACACCTCAATATTGGTCAAGTGCACATATAGACAATTCAACTTATTTACGTCGAATTTGAATATGAGACCCAGGATACAGAAATTCGTATTTTTCCGATCGGGATTTGAATGTGTTGAATTATATTTGTACAATTCAAGACATGGGTTTCATATGATTAATTAATGTATAAATGGCCAAATATACATCCATATAGAAACAATATCTGAAGCGATCAAAATACGGTCGCTTGATATATATGATAGATGCACGATTGAATAACGGTGTAGGTACTTACGCCAGTTGAATTTTAATAAGCTGCATGCATTCCGAACTGGGCGACTAAATATGCTCGTTTTGAAATTAATATCATGTGTTTTCGAGAATAGCAAAACCCGCGCGATTCCCGCCTTGCATGGGTGATTTTGAATAGAATCTCAAGCGTTAAGAAAATCTCGCTAACCCATTTGTTAGCCTAATCTTAGTGCTCGATGTAGCTGCCAGATCTACGAGCTCAGACAGCGGCGACAAGATTTTATTAATTCGTAGTTGTTCTGTTTACCTACACGATTGAGTAATCTAAAGTATTATAGTATTGTAGCTATGGAGGACAATAAACCCAACCAACCGAACAATAAGTATTGGCTTGCAGATTGTGGGTAGGAGAATATACGTCAGAGAGCTGTTAATTTTTATACTTTAGGCTTTCATGCATTGCATTGTCGCGATAAAATCCCGTCATTAATTTATTACTTTTTTTAAGGTTAGGTAAATGAATGAAATATATAGGCACGTTACGATAGCCAGAAGTAGATTGTCTGCTTTATGTCGTATCTCAGTTATGTAGTTGTTAGATGACAATAGGATATGGGGCCATCAAAATCAGAAATATGTCAATAAAATGCCATGTAGTGCTAACTGTCGACAGCAAAACAAGTTACAATTCCAGGATCACGGGGCAGATAATATTTGTATTAGATAGAAACGAATATATACGATAACTGGTGTCGGTGAAAATAAGGCAATCCACAGGAATTGAATAGGTCAATTATTTTAGTCCGAGGCACCAACGCAATTTGAAAATGCGGTCTCGGGTAAAATGCAGTTGCTAATTTTCAAAAATTCTTGGCGGTTCTGACATTTCTGAAAGAGCTGGCAACAAGGGGTTTTATTCCACCACGTGCTTTGTGCCCTTAATCTGCGCATTTATTTATTATAAATATTCAAATTTCTTGAATGGACTGCTTTCGTTCATGCACGATATCGTACCCTATTTACTTGTCTTTTATAAATCAGCCAAATACGAAAGCAGTTTTGCTCATAAACTTTGCTTTATATCCCGAAGATAAACAGCAAGTGAACAGTCACTCCGTGCAACGTCATTACTTATTAAATATTAGCTGAATTTCTATACTAACTATGTGTTTTATCGATCTTCAGTCAGAAACGTTGAACAAAATCAATCTTGAAAGAAAATAGAATGAAAATTCCACTTGTTAATCTACAGATAACATTGTTTCACTTAATTATGCATCGCTGTGTTTGACGATCGCAAAATCATCTCACAAGTTGTGTACTCGAGCGATGTATGCAGAATATTTAAAGATAATATTTTTTTGACATCAGCGACCTTGTTATTGTTCTTGCAATGATGCAATTCTTGGCATTACACGTGGAATATAACGGTTGCGACATAAATAGACTCAATTGCCAGGTTTCTTAATAAGGACCCCAATTCCACTGTATGATTTAAAACTGGGCGCCTAATTGCTTTTTGTTATGTGCCGTGTTGATATATATCTTCATAATTACCATGTAATATTAAAAATGTCAATATAAAAATTTGACAGCGAAAATAGCTAAAAATACGTGAATCCTATTCTCTCGCGGTGGTAGGGACATGTATGGCTCATAGCTCACGATCTCTCCAGACAAAAAATAAATTAAAAAGTAGTATTCCAACTTATCTTTTAAAACATTCTGGACCATATCAAAAAGGTAAATATATCGGAAATATCGGCCTTAATCTAACCGATACCGATACATGGCCGATACCGAAAAAATGGCCGATATTGCCGATACCCGATACCGATACATCGGTACATCTCTAATATTCAATAGAATTGTTTTCATAAACAAGCGAATGACGTACTCACAAAAGCAATCTCGCTTGTTATATATACATTTATTTATACTGTAAAAACATACAACATACCGCAAACAAACAGTCAACAAAGTCGATGTATGTTGTCTAGTTGTGTTTAGTTTCATAACATGGATGAATAATAGCTTCCTCCAAAAATCGGAAGTCTAAAATTCAGCTCTTTCTCGTTCACCAAAAACCACAATCACTTGTGAGGTTTCTAAATTCGGGTTTCTGTGTTTAGGGTTCTCAATAGGGGCGCCACTCACTGCAAATGTGCTTTACGGGCAAACTGGCAACTTTGTACACATCCTTGGAGTACTGCCAACCCAACACCATTCCCGACCACGACGAAAGCATCATAGCATAATTTAAAAAAATACGGTCAACGCAAACAGAATTTTCTCCCAACGACGCATTGCGTTGACGCTTATGCAACGCACGATTAGGTTGAACAAACAAGGTTCGAAGGTGCGTTAACGCAATAGTGCGAACATATGTAAACCTGTCCCAATAGTGTTTGTTTTAGAAACCAAATCATAGTCCAGAGTACCGTTACCGTATCAGGTTATCCAGATATATAGTTCAGAATACGATATTTATTTACAGTACACTTGGCTCTCGTATACACCTGAATTTTGATTTTTTCACAGCACTTGAATTTTATGGTATGCTTGGGCATTTCGAAGATGTTTGTCAGAGTTTCGTTTTGTGACCGGAATATTAGCGAGGCCCCCGAAGAGAACAACTTATGTGTGATTAAACATACAGCAAGAATTCGTCATTCAATTCCCCGCATTGATTTGCTAATTCAAAGTGCACTGTAATTGATAGTAAATTCAATCGCATCAAACATAATTAATGCTTGAAATCCCAATGGGAATTCTACGACAGTCAAAACAGTATGTGAAATGCCTGCCTAATGCATCCAGCTTCAAAGCTGGCAACACCTGGCGAGTATTGATTATCAGCAATATAAAACGTCACAATACAGTCTGAGTCTCAACTATAAGATGAGGTGGCGGATCAGGGCAAAGAGTCGTGAATGAGTAGAACGAGGGTAAATAGCCCAATGGATAGTGTAGATGTTGTTTTATATTTTATGTAGGAAACAGGGGGTTTGCCTAAATATAATATACTTCACCTATACGCCGGAACTATCAGTGAAAATGGCAGTGCTGTGAATTGGTAAAAACTAGACCAAATGGTTCTGTATGTATCGGTGTAGGTCTATTATATATGATTATGATGCATTAAAGTAGATAATATCTGGGTTCGAATTAAATGAAGGTTTTGGGATTCAGTTTCGCGCAAATTTTCTATTTCGACGTAGAATTAGTAAAATCCTGATCGCGTGAATTACCGAATTTGGTATGGAGTATTCTTATATACACCGTCAACTAATGTCCAGAACCATCAATGAATTCTGATTTTGGCAAGACAAAACATAAAAAAAAATGCGTTCGTGTGAGTGTGCATTCCTCACTTTTGCTACAGAATCCGTGCATTATAGACATACGAATCCACCTTCCCAAAAACGAATATTCAGCCCCACACAAACCCAATTGATGTCATTAGACCAGTTATTCTGATCTAACGGTAGCGGCAAGTGCTTATTGGTCATGCGTGATCCATTACTCCCCGATTCGGGATTAGAATACATCGTATCAGTGTACACTTAGATAGTGAACTTTTATGACCTGCGGTGGAAATTCCGGTTTTGTTTAATTGTAATGGATCGACGTATTTATTTGACGGCCATTCACAATGACCTTGTTTATGTCGTTAATTATTGATATGCCTTGATTTCGAACTAGTCTTGTCTAGGGTTATGTTTTTGCATAATAAATATTTTATGAACTCTATTTTTTGTAGCCCGTGAACTTATGTAAAACTGCTAGTTTATAAACTATGTAGATTTTGACTTGATCGTTTACTTCAAATAAACTACAATATCAGGCCAACATGAAGTACTTTCGCTTGAGTTTCAGACTGCTGCTAATACAGTGCATTATGGTACTTCTGGTCATATTTGCATCTTTTTCAACCTACATAGCGTGGACCAAAACCCGTGGAATAAATTGGAAAAAGTCCATTTCATGGTATCCAAGGTTGGGGACTCTAGTTCAAGACGTTGACAATTTTTTTTGGTCCATTATTGAAATGGACGAATTATCTTTGCAAGAAACTCTCAAAAATGGACGTAATTTGTCCGATAAATTTGTTCATAGCAACGTTTTATTGAAAAAATCGCGGACTTTATTAAGGAGTAAATTGGAGGAAAAAAACACGAATCCTACCAAAGCTATAGGACCTGGTTATATAGAACCTGATGAATTTCCGTTGGAATATTGCCCGGAATATCCACCTTATCTTCAAGGAGAACTTGGGATGCCAGATTATTGGAGAAAAGATCCTCCGACATTGAGGGAAATGGCAAAGAAATATCCTAATCATAAGTATTATTCGTTATTATTCACTTTGTTTAATCAGGAAAAAATTTAAATATGTATCTCTCACACGGGGTGATTCGTCTATGCCTATGGGTAGGAATTTTGTTTTTTTTTGAGAGAGGTTTATATTTGTTTGTTGCCCTGTTTATATTTTATAGGGGGAAATTCATCATTTGCTCATAGTAATATTAATAATAATATTGTTCTTCACCTATTTATTTATTTGTGATACATTTATGCACAAATAAATTATTCAAAATGTACAAAAGCCAGAGGCATAGGCAAAAGCAGGAATGTATCGTAATACAGCGAGCCACTAATTTGAATAAACATCGAGGTACTACTCGCATAATGTGACATGGAAAAATGTCTGTTTCATTTCCACCATACAAGCATTTTTATTTCTTGAATTATCCCACAATTTATACTAGAATCAAAATTGTTGTTTTGACTCTATCTGTTTTTTTTTGTATTTGTCAGGGACGCCACAAACAAGCCTTTTGATTGTAAAGCTCGATATAGAGTGGCAATTATAATACCTCTAAGAGGTAGAGAAATACAACTTCGGGGTTTATTGTCACATATGCTTCCTGTTTGGAAGCGACAACAATTAGATTATACGGTTTACACAATAACACAAGCGGGAAATCAACTTTTCAATCGAGCAAAATTGATGAATGTGGGATTTTCAGAAGCTATTAAAGGTGAGATCTGAATCATATCACTCATTATTACATTTGTGTTTCTAAAAAATATGATTTTAACATTTAGGACCTTGAGTGCTGATCGCTATTTTTTGTGTTTGTTTGGGTGCGGAAGGAGTGGTGGGACAGGATCTCTTTTGTATAACTCACCAACAACTTATTTCAGAAAATTTGTGTATGTCACTACGTAACGACTGACATTTACATAAATCTAATTATATAGCAATCGGTATGCCAAATAAAACATTAGTCGTCACTCGTCAGCTCTGGCGGCCGTGAAAAAAAAACCCGGACTTGGCGAGATATTAGTTATTTACTATTAGCTATTCTGTGTTTAAACCTGACCTATTCAAACCTATTATTTCTGACTTGACTAATTTTGTAATTGTTCAAAGAAGCATTAACTGTATTAATAAAATTTGTCATCAGAAGCGTCGAAATGTGGCAAAAAGCGGTAATTCAAATATGACATTATTTATTAGTTCGAATAGATAATTTTATTTTATATATTCATTGTGGGGATCCGTAGATAATAGCCAACCTCATCACGGGCTCCATAACACAAAAAATGTGAGAACCTCTGGGCCAACTTCTAAATCAAGATATACCAAAAACGGATTCGCTGATTACTCACGTCATTCCAAGGATGAGTTCGCGCGAACCACCTGAATCTTACCGCTGTATTGGGGCACTTTGAGAAATATAACTATTTGAAGCAAGTCCTTGGTGTAAAAGACCAAACCCCACCACTTGAATACTAAACAGTAAATATCGATTTTTTATTCCAAAAGGAAGCAACGAATTTAGCAACACTCAATAGACATTTTTGAATAAATTCCAATGATTTAAATGGCTGAGGTTTACATTGAGGTAAGTTTCATGCATGCTGATGCATGCATGTTGAAAAACAGATTTCGGGCTTTGTTCACTTTGAATAAAAAAATAATATAACTTTAGTGGAACCACATTCAAATTTTTTTCATATGGCAGTTTTTTTACAAGTGATGATAATGAAATGATTTTTGAGTAGGACAATGTCTTAGATGATTTTACGAAAACTTTTACGTACAGAAAACAGCTTCAGGGTTATGGCACTAGAACAGTTTATACTGAAACTTAAAATTTTGCAACGAATTACAGCAACGAATGTCGAAATAGCTTAAGGAATAAACTTCAATGAGTAAATTATAGATAAAACGACGAACGATTTATGACATAAAGACAAAACTATAGTAAATGATGCCAGAAAAGTAAACAGTGCAAATTGAAGTTTCAAATATGTTTGTTCTGAGGTATTTCTCCATTTTACACGCTTCCCTTAACTATTTGATAGTTAAAACACTATAAAAGTACCAACTGGTTTCCCATATTCAGCGAGCCGGTAATTTTCAAGACGTCTTTGCGGTGACGCAATAAATATGCTTTGGTATTGTTGTAATAAAGGACGTATTTTCTTTGGCTATACTTTCAGACCTGCTTTTTCAATTTGGTAATATTGGACATACAGCGATGAATATTTTGTTCAAACGAAGCTGCGCCAAATTGAATTGTGAGCTCTCGCTCATTATCATCCACGGACACGGAAAAACAAGCACAAACTCTAAAAAAATTAGCTTGTCACTAATTCTAAAGGATAGATACGTATTCGTTTGAAACGGGCGTTCATTTTTAACCCTAAATACGGCCAGCTTACAATTTACAGCGAAACATGCCTTGGCGGTAACAACTATCGTTGCCCCTCATCCAACTTCACAATTTTTTTCATTTTTTGTGCCAAAATCAGAAAGGCGCCTAAAAGGTAAATCCGAGTAGTTGGTGAACCAAAACGACTTAAATATTTTTGCTGCGTTTCACCCTATTTTGCATTTATAATTCTCTAGTAGTCAGAATGCATTCTTCGATGTATTGGCTTTTTATTAATAGTACAATAGGATAAATCCGCTTCGATTTTTGATTACCGGTAATAGCATTTAAGTGATTCCCACGATGAGATTTGTAGCTATCTCAATTTTTGTGAACATAGTATTGAATCATCGTAATGATGTATATCCTGGTTTAATGAAGCATATAATATTGTTATCAATAACGATCGTTATCAGAATTCAAATCTATTTTATTTTTGAAAATCATAAATGATATTCATTTCATTTTTGTCTGTTATGAATTGAGCTTTATTAACAAAACTTTACTTTACTTGGTTTTCCTGGAGACTGAAATATCCACAAACGCTTGGACCTTCTCTGTAGAATGTCTCCGCCACTAATGCAAAAATGTGATATTTGGAAAAAACACCCCGCGCGTTCGCCCAGTTTTGGCAGTGGCGGGGGTGTTTTTTGGTGGGGTTTTCTACAAAAGATTCATAAGCTCTTGGTCAAGCACATTTATCTATTGTCAAAGATTTCACGAAATCGAAGGTTTCACGTACAATAGAGCTAAAATTATGGGTCGTGCTATTAATTCTAACTCATTCCATTTTGTAGTTAAAGAGGCCTTATGTACATTGCCCTGTGAGTGAAATGAGGACCTATTATATCACTTTGCTTGATGTAAAAATCGATTTATCTGTAAATAATTTACTTTATATCAATTCTTTATTTTCAGAGCGAAAATACGATTGCTTTGTATTCCATGACGTCGATCTTCTACTTGAGAACGACAAATGTTTATACTGGTGTCCGCAAAGTCGAGATGAAAAGTTCGATAATCCACGACATATCTCGACTTATATAGATAAATTTGGATACAACGTTCATACATACGACTTGGGACTATGTTCTCCAATGGCATGTAAGTGTATAAAATGGTTTACCGTTTTTCATTTTTTGAATATGCAATGAAGCCTTGGTTTGTTAGAGATGTACCGATACCACTTTTGTCGCCGATACCGATACGCCGATATTCTAAAACGACCGATATTCCGATATAATTCTTCATAATTACCATGTAATATTAAAAATTTTATTATAAAAATTTGGCAGCGAAAATACTCAAATTGATTGACCCAGTTTGATTGATAAATGCCTTAAAATAGGTCAACGGGTGTGGGAACGTGCAATGGCTCATAGGTCACGATCTATCCAAATAAAAATAATTTCAAGATTAGTATTCTAACCTATTTTTTGAAACATTCTGAATCATATTGAGAAGCTAAATATATCGGAAATATCGGTCTAAACTTAGATACACTACCGATACCGAAAAATTGGCCGATATTGCCGATACCGATACATCGGTACATCTCTTTTGAATTGCAAACAGTTCTCAATATATCTTAACCAGGTTTGTTGTTTTTCAATCAGTAATTGTTCAAGTATTTTAGTTCATTTGATACATATGTGAAGGCCAAAACAATATATGGTATCGATAAATTGCCTTTGTAATTCTAAAAAATTTATCAAAATTGATATTAAAAAAGACTCCATGGACACCTTATATTATCAAAACGTAATTTCAAATACTTACGATTGAAAGTAATAAACAAGAATGAAAATGAGAAAGAGGATTCCAAAAACAACATAAGAACCAAACGAATAACATAATAACAAAACAATTCGTGTCCAAAAATGTTTCGTTCCCCTTAATGAACTGGAACTATCTCTGTACAGGCATGACTCAAGCTTTTAGTGTTTTATTATGATATGGACACAATGAAATATACGCGCCCGCAAGTTGAAATTGGGGAGAGTGCTAACCACAAAAACAATATTTTTCTGTCTCATCCCATCCCATGGGATTTAAATTTAATATAATTTTCAATAAAAATGCTATATTTAGGTTTAGCGTCTACTAAACGGGACTGCATGTGCAAGGAGACATGCAAAACGACAGAATTTATTGACTTTGTTAGCTTTAAACATTTAGAACTATTATATAATTAACAAGAGAGCTATGCTCAAATATGTGGACACGGAGTCCATAACGTGTTTGAATGTTTTGCCATCAATTCCCCCAAAATCATAAGGTATGAACGAACCTGAACAGCCACGGTAATTTACTAGTTACCTGTATCAAGATACCGCTAACGATGTGCGGACTTTCTTAGCTTTTCCACGTTCTGTAAAGGTGATCTATTTATGCTACATGATTTAGATTTTGAAATCGTGCTTCCATGAGTGAAAAATAATAAAGCGAAGTTTTGGATCAAATATCAGATCTCATAGCATTCCAAAAAAAATTAGTAATAAATAAAAGTAATAGTTTAGAAGAAAAGCGATTTTTTATAACGATAAGAAGAAAAAGTCGTGTCCCATGAGGAATACAAATGTGTGCTGTCCCATCCCATGGACAAGCCTGCCAGTTACGTAATTTCATCTACCACATAATTGGTACAAAGCTATAGCGTATTAGGCTATTTATTTTTTTACTTCTAAAATTTAGTTTTGTTGGATTTTAAATGCTTTTGTGTAATTGTTGCCTTTTATGTAAATTAACCATGACCCCGAGTCCCTGAGAGCCAACCTGGAAATAGTGATGTAATTAAATGCGATTGCTCGGTGGATGGAAGCTAAAATCGAATAGCGCTCATGATCAAAACAATAGTGTTGAAGAGAGTGCAAAGAAAATACATCAACCATCCATATACGCTGTTTGTTGGACTTTTGCATCCTGTTGGTATAATGGGCTTTCAGAAAAAGGCGTACATACATCTATAGTGAAATGTTTATACCGTATACTCAAAGGTCATGTTAATTCGAAAATTAACAATGAATCCTTTATACCTTGATAGTAAAGCGTCTTTTATAGTGTCAGAGACAGTATAAATAATTAATGTCTTTCTATTTTCGTTTCAAAGAGCTTTTCTATTCCTATTTAAGCGGACAGAGTTTAAAGTTTTCAAAAGATTATGGACGGCTTAAGAGGACGTACTCTAGAAAATTTTAGGTTGTTGACATTCGTGACAAGACTGAGTAATTGAAGATGCTAATTTTGTCCCTGCAATTTGCATAATGTTTGAAATACTTAATCTGTAGGTTGAAGAAGTTCGGCTCAAGTTTATAAACGGCTTTGCAATAATAAAATTCTTAATATCAAATTCCATAATTTTTCGTTCAAAATATCGAAAAAAAAGCTTCTATAGTAATAAACGTTTTTATTAATCGTTCTTGTCTCGTGTTTTTGTCGAGAATCCATTCTCTGGGTTACGCACTTGGTTATATACACGCATTTCGCAACCCGTCCTATGAATAAATTTAAACAACTAGACGCGACACTGTTTCATTTAACTGGTGTCAGATGTTTGTCAAAGTACACAACTTTAAACAGTAAATTTCTTCTTAAATGACTAGCTGATATTTATCACACATTCACGTATTGTGTATTTACCTCCAGTAGCCGTTATAAACGCTACACGAGATTGGACTTCTAGGTTAAGACACTGCTCTCGAGTGCGTGGACGACATTTTGAGCGTCTAGAAGTGTAATACTGTATAACAAATGCCTTCACAAAAACTTGGTAAAAATTATTTTTCGAAAAAATAAATAGCTGTTTGACAAATTTCCTGTTTTTCTAGCGACCCCCCTGTAGTTCACCAATGGATTCTGACCTATTTAGTATTATGTTGCCATTCAACTTCTTCTTTTTCGTCATTAGACGTTTCAAATTTTTTTTTTTTTGTATTTGTAGACAAAAATATGGAAGTTGAAGTGTTTGGTGGGGTTTCGATGTTCACGGAAGAACAATTTGTATCGGTGAATGGATTTTCAAACTTATATTGGGGATGGGGAGCCGAGGATGACGATCTGTTCATGAGAACTTGGAAGAAAGGTGAGTTATTTTTTAATGACATATTTATACGCCCTTTCTCAAAACGAGGCCCTGCAGCCACTGTTAGTTATGTATCTAATGCAATCTTTTTTTTTTAACATGTTATTCCTTTTTAATGCAATCTAATAGGCTAGTGTCCCAAGTTATAAATTTGACTGACGGCCTCAACGCCAACGTGAATAATGTTCAACGTAAATCAAACGAAGTGCATGGCCGCCGAAATCACCAACCCAGACACGTGACCGCATTATCTATATAATTTGTGATGTAACATTGTGCTCACGTCGATTCTTTGCGTAAATGATATTTTGTATTTCATGTGAACCGCGTTTGCATTGTTGTCTCCGCTTGAATATTTTATAATTTATTATATTAGAGTTTAGAGTCCTTGACTTGGGCTGTACAGTGTACACCCTTCTCGTACTCTTTATCAGTTGTATACCCAACTTATGGTCCGGTATACACTTGGGTATACCGTATATCCGGTAGAAGAACACTGATCGTATGTATCTATGGAGAGTATTTCTGATTCGGCATTGCCTACCCAGAAGTATGTGCATCAAGATGGCGCACAACCTGCACATAGTATGTGTACCCGGCTAGGGTTCAGGTTGTGCGCCATCTTGGTACACATACTTCGGCAGCGCCGAAAAGGTGCGTTATTGGGAACTATCATTGTTATAGTCATTTTCCTGTAACTTTTATTTGTCTATTTGTGTTAAAATATCCGCTCAAATATCGAAGGTTGTGGAGTCGAGAAAAAATTATAATTTAAAGAATCCGGGCTTTGACTCCAATTCCAGATCCGAAAATTGAAATTTCGATGGCAAAAGCTCTGACGTATGCAAGCCGTTCTTGATAGACTGTTAAGACCTTTATAGTTTATGTGGAAAAATTCGACTTATTCCATTGCCTTTGAAAGTTTAAAAGTCCAACTCTGGAAAGTTTAAAATACGAGCTCGGCTCCGGTAAAAACTCGGCAAACGAGGACTCCTCAGTCCAACTTCACAATCCTGTTAAACATAGCGATACAAACGTACTCGTAACTTTACGCTTCAGTCGTTAGTTTACATTTGCCAATTGTTTATTCTCGGCGAGAGTATGTATGTTTGTTCTCCGTTACAGCTATATGATAGACGATTTCTCTGACCTCCTGTTCAAACAAATAAGTGGTAATGCTAAACTAAAGATAAATTGGCTGAAATCCCAATTATCTCACCTACAGCACTTCAAAATATGTAAAATTTTTAAAGCGCCAGGATGTTACGAATTTCGCGGTCCCATTTCTGAAGATACATGTGTGAACTCGGAAGGGGGTCAGATTTTTTCGCTTCAATGAACATCAGATAACATCAAGTTCTAGTATGCTGATGGACATAGACTAGTAATACCGATGTATTATGGAAAAAAACAACGTTCTAGTGATGACCTTTGTTAAATCTTGCGTGGAAGCAATTTAGCAAAGTTGTGCATTTACGAGGGCGGGTTTTTATGTTGTAACGGCTGATTATATGAACGAGTATACATTCACATGATAATCGTTTTTTGTCGATGACTATTAGCATTAATTTTGATATTAATAATAATTTATAATAATAATAAATCAATATTGTATTCACTTGTCCCTTCCCATCACGATGTACCTTAAAAAGTTTACAGGGAAAATAATTACACAATACGGAGATTAGTTTTCCATAAGCGCAAGGCAGATCTGAAGCTCCTAATTTCGACTCTTGCATCGCCCACTCATTCTCGTGTCAGAGTAGTTATCTTCACTTTATGTTGAATCTTTTTATGCCTCTCTCAATATGCATAAAAAGAACTTGATTTACCCAATATTTTATGGATCTTAGCTAGTGTTATGAGCATGTCGCACTCCCGCTTTTGTCCGGTTGAAATAGTTTATAATGTATGCATGAACAAACACATATTATATTAATAATGAAAAATAAGTAATAATACAGCAAATACTGAGCAAAATACCGCCACGACAACGATAACATTTCTCTCTGGGAACTATTCCGCCCCGGCTGGAAAACGTAGGCTTAGAAGACGAATAAGTAGTCGATTCCGCAGAAACCCGATCTGCAGTCTATTGTTACCGCTATAAAGCTACAAAGATCAATATGAAATTTCAGTTCATGCTTCTCTGTATAATCAGCACGAAGTGTATTAAATTTTTCACCAGGTTACAAAGTCAATCATGATTCGAGCGGCGCATGTTCATTCCATATGATTTATCACAGAAGAGAAAGAAAGAATCGGAAGAATGCGATCAGATATCTGCTATTAAAACATGCTTTATCGAGACAAAATGAGGATGGACTGAGCAATCTAAGGTTAGTGAAGAATATAACCCATCAATTGGCTCGACGGTTCGAATCCCGCGAAAGAATAGGTATGTGTGAGAGGATTGCTGTACTCATCGCCGCTGTAGGGTGGTTCACGTAACCGCTGGTCGGTTACGGTTTCTTTTACCATCAAGTCCATGCACCCGAAAACAAATAACTGGCTGACTAATCCCATAACCGACATGAACTGGTAACCAGACGAGAGGCCCTAGTTTACCATATGATTAGGTCGTCTTATCGGTTTTCCTCTCCCCAGGGATAAATATGTAAATCATATCCTAATTTGATAGGATATGGTTTTAATTCCACCACTGCAGGATAGGAAAGCCGATAATGGCAAACCACGTCCTCACATCAGGTTACCAATCCATGTCGGATGAGGGAAAATATAGTTAACCTTTGTTTGTACCAGGTGCATGAACTTGATGGCGAAAGAATCAATCACGACCAGCTATCCTCTCGCACATAATTACCCATCACGTGATTCGAAATTTGAAAATCCACACAAGGTAATGGGAGGCGATCCCTAACGCTTAGCATGATGCGCCTTCCACCGAGTCTAAATCACATATTCGATATAAATCTGATGTGTTAGTTTGCGACATCGATTGACATGGCCCATTGTGTAATGACAATTATCGTCATTTTCCATTCAGGCAAGCTACATTCAATAAAAAAGCTACAGTCAAGCTACATTGAATATACAAAAAAATCTTTATATATAGCCTTGAACTTGACTGCTAGTACACATACTGCTTAGCTGCTGTCACAAAATTAAACCCGCCGACTTTATGACAGCACAACGAGTGCTCAATGGCGGAGACCATTGAAATATCGACTAGGACCATATATTCATCCCCACTATTAACTTGTTTATTTTTTATCTTATTCATATCACCGCTCGTAAGACATATATATACCTAACCAAACATCCGGGGTTTTCGACGAACCAATGTGCGATTAAATTTATTCCCATTTAGCCAGATTAATGTTACACAGAATCGGGTACCGTCTTCTGGCAGGCCACGGAGCGTGACTGGTATAAATATTTTTATGACCATACGTTGTTGGAATTTTTGTTGACTCAATATATGTAATGTCTACATATTGTACTGTTTGTTTGTACGAATACGCTGGCAGAGATGTTTCCAATTGTTCTAAAGCCATTTCTATTTTATCGTACTTTCACTATCTACCATATTCCCAAATGGTAACAGTAAGTCTTTGACTACCCATGGTACTTCCGAAGTACGTGAATCAAAATGGCAAACACCGAAACGTAGTATGTTTAACAGGTTAGGGTTCAGCTAAAATTTTATTCCAATTTGCCTTGTTTCAGTTCTATTATGAGTTTGGGGATTAGCCAAGTGACTCATGTAGTATTTCTACCTGAAATTATGGTCTAACCCCAACCAGGTACACAGACTACGTTCCGGTGTCCGCCATCTTGGTTCACATACTTCGGGAGTAACCTCCTTTTATTAATTTAACTTTTATTAAAATTTATTAATGTTTTTATTTCAGGTATAAAGTCCTATCCCATGAAAAACATTCAATATACACAAATATTACGGTCGATATCGGAGGACCTTCTTCTAAGCTGAGGGATCTCACAAGAAAAATTGACCACGGAATGGCAGATATAGACGACTTATCTTGTTTCGAATCCCTTGTTTGGATGTATCATAATTTGTTAAAGAAACCTAAATAATATTGTTTTCAGCGAAACGTATTTTAAACCATACTGCACCTATGTGTACACGCAAAGGCTAAATACCAGTTGTATTTGTTTGTAAATTGTTTTCGCTAGTGCGGCCAAGAGTCTTCTAGTTTTTCTGGCTGTTCATCCCATACAAACTTGTCAAAAATACCAAAATTATTGGAGCTGCAAAAACACGAATTTTTATGTCAGGAATAATACTGCTCATAATATTATCTTTATTAAACGCTTCGACTAACGGCCCAAACTTTGGAGTCAGTCATTACCTGTACTACAACTAGCTACGCTACACCCTGTTGAAAACTACCACACATTACCTAATTAATATTATTGCATTAGATGCTATTGTTTGTGGAACCCTAGTCCAGGGATGTGGGCTTTTAGGGATATGGAGCCTGTAAACAGGTTAACTATTATTTACGGAGACCCGCAAATTTGACACTAGAACAAACATCAAAAAGGTATTATTGAAATGTGGCAACAAGGCGGTAATTGAAATCTTCCATTATCTATTTAAACTTATAGATAATGTTATAGTTTAATTACCGTCTCGCTGCAATATTTCGACGCTACCGTTGTCAAATTTCTTTAATGCCGTCATTGCTGATTTTAACAGTTGCAAAATTAGCCAAGTCAGTATTTTGATAAGTAAACGTATAGTTCGCGGAGCCCTTGGGGTTTTTCACGGATCCCTGGGGCTCCGTATAGAGCACTTTGAGAACTCATGACCTAGTCCAGGCTTACTCAACTGGCGGACCGCGGTCCGAATCCGGCCGGACCTTTTGGGTATTCGATTCGGACCGCGTCTAATTCTTTATTTTGGATCATTAGCCACTTTTTGAATTTTTTTTTATAAAATCATTTTTATAGATTTAAATATATCTGAAAAGAACTAAAACGCCATAATAAACAATCTTGATTAGCTAATAATCATTAGTCGGCCGAGGAAGTACATGTTTAGAAATGCCGATATATAATTTCAGGAAAGACCGGACCCAAATATTTTTGAAGTTTTGAATGTGGATCTTCGGTAAAAATAGTTGAGTAGCCCTGACCTAGTCGACGGCTTCCTCGCTCTCTGCCATATTTCGCTTTCAAACATAAAAATATGTTAAACATTCTGTATATTTTTAATGGAATTTTTAAGAAGTAAGGTGACGCACAATCACTCAGAAGTAAGGCTCGCAATATGGCATATTTCGATAACGAAACCTTCGAATGAATTGGTTGGAATTTTTACTTGGGTAAAATTTTTCAACGAAATAAAAGAATAAAACACCAAATACGAGAGAAATGTAAGCCCCCGCGGTTCAAGCCGGATCTATTTTCCGAAATGTGAATTCTGTAACATTTCTGGTTAGTATTCTATTCAAAAATTCAGCGAGAGTTACTGAAACTTGTTGCTTGCGTATCTTCTTTCTCCGTTTCATATATATTTTTTCAATTTTCTTTTCGTTCTTCATGCCTATTTTGCCAAATTCTTCAATTTTCAATATTATTTTTAAAATAAATACTTGAAGGCCTAATCGTCACTCATTGATTGCTAGTTTTCACATTGGGGATTAGCAGAGATAAGAACTGGAAGGTGATAATAATTGAGGTGATAATGGATGAGCGGGGTTGACATATTTATCCATGAGAGTGGAAAGCCGATGAGACGACTTAATTATATGGCGAACAACTGCTTCTAGTCCGGTTACCAGTCCATGTCGGGTGCGGGATTAGTTAGTTACTTGTTTCAGATGCATGGAATTGATGGTGGTTGAGGAAGCCGTAACCGACCAGCGGTTACGTGAACCTGCCCTGCAATGGCGAGTCCAGCAATTCTTTCGCACATAATTATCTCCACGGTATTCGAACCTACGCAGGGTAATCAACGGTGTAGGGGCAAGCGTATTCCAAACGACTAACACTATGCGCCAAAACTATTACTGCTAAGCAGAATTTCCAATAAATGGGGTCTGGGACAGGCGCTCGAGTTTGGTGAAAGTAAGTGTAGAATATTAGTTTACGTCACCAATAATATAGGCATTCTAAGCACATTAGTTTAAATATGAGCTCCTGGGCGACGACTGCAATTACTGCTACCTAACTGGATCGTTTTATTTCGTTAGAAAGTTTTAGTACAATAGCACTCATAAGAGTATCAACCGAAATAAGAAAGCAAGACTTCACGCAACGTTGTGTCCAGTGATTTGCGCAAGTGAAGTATGCATTCGCGAGTCAAATACATTCAGGGTGTAATAAATTAAGCAGGAAATGACGTTCCGGAATGATCCCAATCGTTTCAAACGATAGTAGCTCATTCTCTATGGAAGTGACCGCTTTCCAAAATATTTTTTGTAGTTGAAGGCATATCAAACGTTGTGAAAAAGTTCTTAGATGTGGCGACTGCAGTAATTTCCCTACACCCCTATAGGAGGTGAACACCCACACTAATTTTGAGAAGTAATACCACTCTAATTTAGGTGTATATATATGTATTTGAATATTCAGAAAGTGGCATATTTATTATTTATCAGTACAGATAATCTGTCAAATACACAACACATTTCACAAAGTTTTATCGCTAATGGAGAAATTACTAACCCTTAAATTTCAAACCCCCCTCACATTGAAAAAATAAATTGTGATCTAGAGAAACTTACACTAGAACTACAATTAAAATATTATCATAAAGTGCAATCATAACTATAGGAGTAAAATTGGAGATTTTAGGAAATGAAAGAAACGAAAACATTTTTTCTTGAGTACCATGTTTCCTCAAAAATAGACCTTGCCGGTAGGCTTGCACGTAATTTACGGAATTACGGAATTATTTCGAGTTACGGAAGCGAAGTTACGAATTACGTAAATTCGTAATTATTGGTCGAGCGCTTTCGCGATTGAAACGAGCTCTCTTCAGAGCAGTCAATTCCGTCGATTGTAAAAAAATTAAAGTTTAATGAGTAGAAGAAGTTAGAGTTCCGGTATTCGCAGCCGTTTTTCTCTCTCTTGTTACGCAGATGGAGAAGGCATAACGCGTTGCCATTTACTAACCTATTATCAACTTATCTAGCATGGCAAATGTACATATTAAGCGTAGATATGGGATAGAATTGTGTTGAGACCGATGGACGCCAACACACCTGGTTTCAACTTCTCCGGGTGAAATGACTAAAGAATGTAAGAGATCAACTTACCAAACATGGTCTATTTGTAAATGCCGTGATAATTAATGTTGCGCTTATCAAACAGCAATATGACGACGGAAGAGAAATTGCGTAATGAACCAACGCAACTTAGTCTTTTCGGCATCGGTAAAGCGACTCAGACGGCAGAGAAACAACAAAAAGACGGGATTTCCCATGTTTATTCTGCGCGAGATCCATTTTCTATTACAAAATCTTGATGTTCTGTTACCGGTTTTATCGTTATATATCTGTCCGGACTTGGCCTTGTTTTCACAATGCCTCGCACTATTTCGGCCAAATATGTCTTTACAAAATCTTTAAGTCTTTACCAAATGCGGCAACTTATTTTGATTTATCGTCGACTCAAATACCACCGGCACTCGACCAAACTTGTGTCAATCTTAGCCGATAGGATTGTCGACTTGAGTTAGAAAAGTAAATTAATATTTTCCTGAGTGCAAAATAAATGTCACAAAATGAATTGTTTTGCGATATAACTTTGTATTTTTGGAGAAGGCATGTCATATAAGTACGGTATTTAAATTATGCGCAAATAATTAATATCTGATCTAAATTTATCGCAAATAATGTTATAACATTTAGGCCGCGAAATGATTTAATGTAAAATGAAGCATGGTAATCGGAATATCGTCAATAAGTCGGCATCAATAATTATTATAAAATGCTAACTAGGTAGTAAAGTCGGATAATGTAAAAAAACGGTACAATAACAAGTCTTCGTCGCGAGGCAAGCGCAAGTATAATCAAACGAGAGAATACGCTCGTCGTTGATTTATAAATTAGAAACCCGGAATTTTTATTTAATACGAAACTCTTATTAATACGTTAATACGATTTTAAAAAAGTCAACTATCGTTTCATAAATATGTTACCACTTACCAGTGTTGGTAATGATAAAATTGGGTGATAAAGTTGATAAAGAAAAATCAAAGCTAACACAAAAGATAAAAATCAGAATAAAATTAATTTGAATTCACTCCTTGATATTTGTCTTTAGCATCTGTCGCCGGCGTGCAGTACTGGCGGAAATATGAAAACCAAACTGTCCCAACTGTCGATGTCCCATTCGGAATAGAAGTGGATTAAATTGGTTGTTATGATAGGTTTAAAAGTGTGAAAAAAATATCGCAATTACGGGGTCATTACGTAATCGATTTGGCCGTAATTACGGAATTGATTTTTGTCAATTACGTGCAAGCCTACTTGCCGGAAATGAAAACGTGTTATATTTAAGTAAATGAATATCATTTTTCATATTTTATGTATTTGAACATTTCGTAACTCCCTAATTTGTAATTTTGTTTTTGATAAATGAAAATAAAAGACATCTCTCAAAATAAGCCCTAGTGTTACTTTTCCAAAAAAAAAAATGAAATAGGACCTTGTCTTATTTAGGGATAAACACGATGTTACAATGAATACCGTTTAAAATCGCAGTGTAGAGATATTGCTCATTTGATCTTAAATGCCCTGTAGTTTATGAATAAAAAGCATTTTATACGATTTTGTAAAGCATAAAGCCTAAAACCGTTGCAATTGTGAAAAATATGCAGTTAAAATAGTACAATGTCCGAGTTACGAATAATCAAAAATAATCAGAATAAATATCACGAATATGCTGCTGGAGCTCTAAGAATTGGCAATTAATTAGTTGATCATTCAATGTGACGTCACAATAACATTTACTCGTGAAAAGTATAAAAGAAGGCGAATTCGAGTTTTCGAATTACTTTTTGTAATTTTTCTAAAAGTTAGTTAGATAGTTAAATATAGTTAGTTTTTTTTTAATCTTTTTAAGCTGGTGCTTAGCGTCGGCAGCCGGAGTATGGATGCTGGTGTGCATCAAGGTGCATTGCCTTTAAGGCAGCTTGAAAGGCATCCGACTCTCTGCATCTTAGATTCTATATCAAATTCTAACTTGTTTTTATTGTGTTTTACA